TCTCTCTCTCTCTCTCTCTCTCTTACACACACACACACACACACACACACACACACGCACATTTGGCGGCAGACAGGTGTGTGGGCACTTGGCGCTGAACCACACAAATGTGGCCAACCTTGCACTGTCTATTATATTGCATATCTATACTTTTTCGTTATGGATGGCTTGTGGTGATCTGTGAAGGGAATGAGAGAGAGAATCTGGGGTCTTTTAAAACAACACACACATTGGGGTGACGGGAGATTCTCATCAAATGTCCTTGATATTGGACATGCTTCCCGAAATCTCTGATCTAGTTTGCTTTTCAGCTGGCCTTTCTATTTCTAGTATCTGATGCTTGAACTTTTCGGGAGAGGTCAGTCGAGCTTCTCCAACCTTCGAAAAGGAAAAAGGAGGACCAGCCATTTGCCAACTGCATACATCGTTTAGAGCAGTTCAAAGCCTCATCCTCCGGTTCTAGGCGGAGAAAGAGAGGAAGTAATTTGCTCGTCATTGAGTCAGTTCTGTTTCTCGGAATGGACGTGCATCCTTGTCATCCTACAGATAACAACAGCCAGATGGAAGCTCAGCCTGATGGGGGCGGTCTGGTTGTGGGAACTGGGACATCTCCTGCTGATTGGTCGTCGTGGCAAGGGAGTGGGAATAGGAATGCTGCCAGTAAGGATCACAGCAGACCTCCTCCAGAGATTGTGTATCTCAATGTTGGCGGTGTTCATCTGGCCACCAGCCCAGACACATTGAGGACAGACCGAAGCTCAATGCTTGCGGTGATGCAGAGGTGGGAATGGAGGATACCTTCCAAAGAGAAGTGTGAAATCTTCATTGATCGTGATGGGGAAAGATTCAAGCATGTTCTGAACTACCTCAGAAATGGGACCGTTCATCTGGGTCAGGAGCCGCAGGACAGGGTTCGGTACTTCGAGCTATTAGAGGAGGCGGAGTACTTCAACTTGGATGGAATGAAGCAGTTGTTGATAGAAGGTCTGAAGAAGATCGACGAAGAATCGGTGAAACCGCGATACGACCTTGGACTGAGACATGACCTGGTGGATGTCCTTGGGAAGCTGACCTCGAGAGAAAGGTCTCTTTTCCAAGAACTACTGACCCTGCTGGGGTTGCTTGTCACGGATCCGCCACTTTCCCATAAGAGCCATGTGAATGATTTTGAGTTCAGACTGGACGACGACTTTTGAGAACCAATTTGTCGGGGAGATGTTAAGGTGTATGTATGAATCTGTGGCCTCCTTTCTCCAAGGGGCGGAGGAGGAGTACTGTGTGTGGGGTCTGCAGGGATCAACGCCTTGACTTCGAAGCCTACATGACTCAAATACGAAGTTAACATTCACGCAAGCCTACTACATTCCAGAGACTTTTCAGGTGCCTGCAGTCATTGGGAATGTTGTCTACAGAAGATCTACCGATGGTGTAAGGCTTCTAGGGCCCGTGAGAATGGTGGTTTCGGGTCCTCCGTGGACGTAGCATTAATGTGCACATCGAAGGGGAGTTTCAAGGTTTAGGGTCCTCCATGGACGGAGCATTGCTGTGCACATGGGAGGGGAGTTTCGAACCGGTGCTGTAGAAGAGGTATGCTGATGCATTTTTCGCTCCTGAGCCAAATACAGCCTATTGGTTGAACTTCGGCAAAATGTGTCAAGCTCGTTAATTCTTTGATTCTTTTCGAGAAACTCAGGCATTGAGTGTTTTTCTCATCGCCTTTCTCGTGTGCACTTCACTGTTGCAGAGTGGCGTCTCATAGACAGGAGGGTCAGTTTAGATATAGCTGAAGCAACCTCTTGATGGCCAAGCAGGGATTTGCACAGACTGAGCAATTCCTTGAGCTTTTCTGAAAAGTTCCATCATATCTTTGCTATTAAATGCCATGTACTGCACACATGGCTGTGCTGTACACTTCTGTGCTCTAGTGCAGCAGGAAGGTGGATTATAACAGGGCAAACGTGCATGTCACTCATTTCCTCCTGGTGGTTGATTCAGTTCGGTGCACACATACATGTAAAAGCTGTGCGACAAACAGATCGTGAGTCTCAAATCCTGCTCAATACAGTAAAGCTGCGGGCTACCGCTCATTTTCTCTGTTACCAAAAAAAGAAAGAATGAAAAGATAATGTCACTTCACAGTAGCATAACATGTGCAGTACCCCACCTATGCGGCTGAATGGTATACACATGTGAGTTGCTGTAACTGTTAGTACACAGGTTGTGAGTTTGAATCCTGGTGCATTTGGATGGATGCAATAATGTTCGGGGCTACCACTTCTTTCTTCTTTAATAAGCAAAGGACAGCCTGTGCGTCAGCACTTGGGCTTTCTTGAAAATGTAGCTTGCAACTGGTAACGTGAACGATCTAGAGCCGGAAAAAAAAGGAGCAGGACTCACTGATGCTATAGTTGGAAGCAGGAAACTAATCTTGAGAATGGCCAGGTTCATGTTTCCATGGCATGAACTTAGCACCTGTAGGGCCTGTCCCTGATGAGCAGCGGAACGTGGAGCTGGAATCCACGTGGTTGCACAGTGACTTGTCAGACAGGCAATCTGGGATAACAACAATAAAGCCTTCAATGGACAAAAGCTTTGGTTTGCCTGCCCCAACCCCGCCAATCTCAGGCTGCTGTCCCGCTTATGACTCTATGAGTTTGATATAGGTCGAAAGGGGTCCGCTGCCCCCAAGTTGCCACTGTCTTCTTTGGTGGCAATTTTAACTGTCAAGGTGTTGAATCCTCTACTCTTTTTCTGCAGTCCTGGGCTCACCACTGGTACTACAGCACAGGGTCCTGGGTGAATTCACTCTCTGCCGGCTGAACAAAGAAAAGTGAAAATGAAAATGCATTTACCCTTTCAGGCATGACCCAACCCAGATTTAGAAAGGCAGCGCTTGGCCGGCAAGAGGTTGGGGTAAACAGCCACCACCATCACGCTTCTGTATATGATGCATGATTATGGCCAGTGGCGAAAGGTGCAGGGTGAGAAAATAATGGTGAAATGAAGGAAAGGCTGGACACGGGTAAGAGTGTCTAAGAGTAAAAAGCAGGGTGCACATTTCTTCCGAATAGAACAGGATCTGACACAAATTCCCTTCTTGACGAAGAGATAAGAGCCTTCTTCTCTTATTTGTTGCTTGCCTGATTCATCTCAAAAATATTGTTTGATCTTTGTCTACTGAGTGTGGGGCTGTTACACAAGTACCATTCACAATCTCTCTCTCTCTCTCTCTCTCTCTCTCTCTCTCTCTCTCTCTCTCTCTCTCTCTCTCTCTCTCTGTGCCTGATTCTTTCGTAATTGCATGAATGCCACCGTAAGGTTCTTGTTGCAAGGTGATTGATGATAGTCAAGCAAGGAAGTATGCTTGCTTTTCCACTCCCCATGTGGCGTGTGCTTGCTTTTCCACTCCCCATGTGGTGTTAGTGATGACAAGGCTAACTGAATGTATGTTGCATGCCTATAAGGCAAAGAACCAAGAACGGGCCTCACAGGGATAGCGTAAAGATAGGACAGTGGAAGACTGAAGTACCAAATTCTGACTGAATCAAGACCAATGACAAGGACTGCACATCACCATCATCATGCATGTGGGGAAGGCTCAGCGCTGCAAGCATAGAAGGGGCGCTGAGTCGTGTACACTGTACACCATCCACAGACGAGATGAGGGGGAGTCGAGACAAAGGAGAAGAGGAGATAGGGGAGGTCAGCCACCATGGACCAATGAACCCAGTCTCCAATAACCCCCCCGAAGTTGCTGTCCGTACAAGTCTCAATGTCACTGCACTGGGCATAACCCGAAAGTGACCAAGTCTCAATATCTACTCTCTCTCTCTCTCTCTCTCTCTCTCTCTCTCTCTCTCTCTCTCTCTCTCTCTCTCTCTCTCTCTCTCTCTCTCT